CTTCCTCTGTCGTTTTCGGATTTCTCACGAATGCGGAAACGCATGTTACATCGCGCGCAAACGGGGAGTATATCGTGATTAGACGTCGCGCACTGAATATGATGTACAACGTGACCTCGTACGCTTGCAAATTGAACTAATCCCCGATAATGAACCATTATGGCGCGTGGAGGCATCGCTCGTAGTCGGTTCACTCCTCGCGATACCCGTAGATGCGCGGTCCGCTTGACCGCGCGATTAGTAACTTAACCGAGAATAGAAGTGCATAATCCCCCCGAACATTTATCGTTTCGCTATGTTATATAACGGATCAGTGTTTAGAAAGGATGTGTGGGATGTGCGCGTGTAAGCCGCAGTGATCAAATGTAAAATGCGCGGCGAATCGCGTTGGGCGCGATCGACAATTCACGGAATATACGGTGAGTATATGTACACGGAGAAAAAAATAAATTTATTTGTAGGATATGAAGTTTATTTCTGCGAGGTTTATTTCTGTATAAAATAAATTTCTGTCCTACAAGTAAATTTTCGAGTACCTTTTTCTCAATGTACTCTAAGAGAAATAAACACTGAAGAAACAAAAAATATTTATCCAGGATAGGCACTCTAACAGTATTACTTTTATACCAATATAAAATATTTTTCAAATATAAGAAAACACACTTTCTTAAGATCTTACTTTTTATGAAAGTAATTGTTTACTCTATTTAAGGCTCGTGACGTCAGAAGCGAGAAAACACGCGTCCAGAATTCTTGTGAAATATACTGAAGGAAGAAGACATGTTCATAGAGTGATCTTTGGAACCGATTACATTTGTAAAATATTCCGTCAATCTTCTTTTTCCTCTAACAAATAAATAACCGTAAAATTAATGTGACATATGATCTTTCTCTTTTGGCTGCCTTTCTTCATGATTTTGTTACGGCTATTTATTGAATATAAATCAAAGTAAAAGGTAAGTTTTCAAAATACTTTAAAAATATACTCAATCGATCACAAGTGTCATTTTATGGACATAACCCTCCACTTTCACTTATTCTATACGTTTTCTCACTTCTGACGTCATTAATCATCAAGATGGCCGCGACGAGGAACATAGGAGTCTTAAATAAGAAGAATTTGAAATAAAAGAAAATTTAAATAAATATGTTATTATTACGCACTGAATAAATATTTTTTTTTAGCTATTTTTTCTCTCAGTGTAGTCCAATTACGTAATCCAATTGACCAACGCTTTCGCATTAAAAAAAAATTGTTTGCTACCTACATGCCTAATCAAAGAAAATATTTGTTCTGTATTTTTCTCTTTTTTTTCTCTTTTTTTCTTCATATAAATGTTTTTCTCCACGATTTACGTTGTCGTATTATTGGAATCTAGGATAATTAAAAAAAGAGAAAGAACACATACATGACATTTGTACGGTGAATTTCAATTCCACATCTCTAATTATCTCTAATGAGAAACGTCGAAAAATTCGATTTATCACGTCTTATTAAGTCGTCGTATCACAATGTCGAGTCAAACGTGTTCTTATTCTATTGTTTTTATATTTTACCTCTGACGTTTGTCGTTTCACATATCAATGCGGGAAAACTGAAATTATAATCCGACCTAAATGAGTTTAATCTCAAAATGCTTTTTGACTCGCAGCATTCGAATCGCGGGAAATGATTTTCGCGACTGAAAACACGTAAGCGTTATCGCTGCTAATTGAGTTTACAGCGCAACGACCTTTCGACTGTTTTTCGGGATCGGGAAATAGGTCGATGTGTAATTTAATATGGATGTAAACGCGATATGTGAATTGCGAAATGCGAATTCACTATTATCCTGGATCACGCCGTTTAATAGACACGGTTACTTCGATCGCTACTTCTTTCAAGTAAAGTAAGCGGACGAAATCACGACGTGCATATGCTAAAGAGAATAAGAGAGATCACAGAGAAATAATTGCATCAGAAATTTCTTCTGGAAATGATATTATTATCATCTCTCTTTATGCAGATAAATGACATCGACAGCCGTATGCATTATCGTTGCTAATTATAACCAGCCAACGATAAACATTTTCACAACATTGGCTTTATCAATCCAATGAGACTCGTAAAAACCGTAATCGGTCCGATTAATAACGAGAAATGCGTTAATTACTTTTGCCGTGGATAGAGATTGACATTTTGATTGTGGCCAGCACAAGGTTTAATTAAAACTGAGCTCTTCACAGTCTTCCCTTAACAAGCTCATGGCGATCGGACCTACGACAGTAAATCACGCGGCTACCCAGATGCCTAATTCTCAATCTATCACTGTCGCCGTCTCGTCAATTACAGTCGTTCTAAGTTAACACCACAATGCACTTTGAGCCTCACGATAACTGGCTTCTCGAAATGTGCGTATATGTGTTTGTGTATCCGTCCAAGTCGTTGACAACGCATGGCATGGCAATTTTAACTCGTTCGTCGTGATTTCGCTGGGCGCATTTGCGATTACGATCACAAATACAACGTCGAAGAGTTAATTAATAAATAGCTAATTGCATCGAATATATGTATATATGAAAGTGTCCCACCCGCTGCTCGTAATCCGCGTTGTCCGCGCAAATAACCTTCCCGACGCGCTTTGGCTCGTCCAGGCGGAAGAACTCGCCGTGAAATCTCGCGAAAATCTCCGTACCCTACTTATCACCATTCCGTCGGTTTCGATATGTACATTTTCCGACAGTGCGCGATCCGATAGGGGTTACGTGCGATCGATGTAATCCCCGCGAATAGTTTTACGGGCGGGTGGACAGCCGGGAGGAGTGGACGGGATTAACGATTACATTATGTTTTAACGATCTGGATCAACGAGATCGTCGGGTCGGGGCAAAGCCGATCGCGCGCGCACGTCCGGCCGCGCTCGCCGATCCATTTGTCAAACTAATTAGGGACTCCGCGTAGCGAGAGGAAATCGCGAACTTACGATCGCGTAAGCGGACCGAGCCGCGCGAAAGCGATTAACTGACGATTATCAATTAAATGTAAGGTTTACTATACGATCATTGAGACAATACAAATATCTCATTAATATGATCTAGCATAGTTTAATATAGTCTGAAACTCGATCTGTCGTCACGTTTGTCGGAAATAACGCGGGCTGATAGTAATCGAACATTTACCGACGAACAAAAACACGACGAGTAGATTTACATCGATCAATTTCAAGAAATTTAATTTTGTGTATTAATTATTATAAATTTCTAATTTCATATAACTTCATAAATATTTCGTGAAAATAAATATTTCATAAAAAAATTCATAAGTATACAAGGCATTCTGCATGGTATTTCGTTCACTAAAATTGTGCATTCATCGCATAATTTTTCAAAATATACATATATGTTTTCGCAATAAACAAGAAATGAATAAAAACGCTCTCAAAGAACTTCTCTCATCATTTCTCAAATGTTTTTTTTACTAAACTAACATTTTTACCAAACCACACTGAGAAAAAATATCAAAAAAATAAAATATGTAATCAATGAGAATGCATTTACTTATACTTATAATATACTTATAGTATATAAAATATTTTTCAAAAAAATATATTTTCTTCAAAACCTGCCCTTTCAAAGCAACTATTTATTCCGTTTAAATAAAAGAATTTAGAATTAATATATAATATAAAATGTTAATATTTACCGAATAAATATTTCTTATTTTTTAGATATTTTTTTCTGCAGTGAAGATACTACAAGCGCGTACTGCCGCGCACTACTGATTACTATTTCTCGTCAGAAATCAATGCAATTTATACACAAGCATGCACTACAATATATGACGCTTCCTGAGCGTCTGAATTGTACGCTCACCAACATATCCAGCTGTCCAGGTATACGGATGAAATTCCAACTGCTTCTCTCCGCGTCCATGCGTCCAGTGTGCTGCTTCCTTAGTATTCAATTTCTCTGATATCTGGCTCCTCAGCACTCATGACGAACTTCCTCTTCTTTACACACAATCACTTTTCCCTTTATTTATCTTTTTTCTTTTCTTATTTGTAATAGGATTTTAGAATTTAGAAAGGGAAAAGTGGCAGGAGGAACACAGGATTATCGCATTAAGCGCGATAAATATGTAGCAAATTTTAACATTTCCAAAATATATACGCGAGACGCGACTCGTATGTAAACAATCGCGAATGGAAAGTTATTATGTATTGAAACAAGTGACAATAACAAAAAAAAAGGAAAATATTTTGGTTCGTATACGATAATATATAGATTCAAAGAAAAACGTGTTTCTCGATATATAAAGAATCTAAGTTCTAATGCAAACAAATGTAAATATATGAAAGTTCGCAATAATTTTGGTTAAAATCACATTCTTATTTATGTCATGTACGACAAATTTAAAAAATTGATAACCGTAATAATTGAAAAATATATCGACACAAACGAAATATATAATCGCAAATGTTGCATGCAATAGCGCAATTCTGATGCGCATTATGTACTGCTCGAAACATTTAAGAAGTCATACTGACTGAAGAATTCAATTGAATAATTCAATATCTTGATCTATAAATATGATAAAAACTGAAATATAATTCCTTTCATTTAAATTAATTTAATATATATTAATATATGTTATCTAATATGTGTCATAAATTATATTAATATAACAATATTAATTTAATTAATAAATTATTAATCTTTTTTCTATCAGACAATTAATAAAATTATATAATATTAATTTAAATAGATTAATATTATATAATTATATAATTATATATATTGCATACACTCTATAGATTAAGAGTAAATATATCGGAGAAATATGTATTAAATATCTAGAAGATTCTATTATATAATATAGTTATTTATGACAGCAATCTGATAATTTCGAGCAGCACGAAAACAAGTTGCAAACTACAAAACTACAAATTGCATTGATTTCCTAGAGATTCTAACAGACAACCATCACCTAAAAACTTTCTTTCTTTCTTTCTCTGACTCACCAAGACATCATAGACTCAAATCTAGTCACGTTCAGCTGCAGATTTAGAACAAAAAATAGTTTCGTTGATTAGATTCAAATGTTTGATTTGGTTAGGTTAAATTTTACATTGATGCGAAAGTGTTAACATTTTGCGTCGTAATTCGACATAAAGAATCAAGAAGAAGCACATAAAATATCATTAAACTTTACCTTCGAGCCGACTCTGCTTAACCCAAGCTGAATCCTCCGGTAACCCGTGTCCGTTGACACAAAATCTCAAGGCCCGCACTCGTCGTGTGTTCACAAGCTCCACTAGATCTGTATCAAAAAGCAAGTTTCCTTATTAATATTGTGACACTAGATGCTCGCTGCATCAAGGATACGGAGGCTCGAAATTGTAAACTAATCTCCCTAACCTAACTAAAATGCAAAGCGCTGGTTAACTTGAAAATAAATACTGCTACTGTTCACACACTAGCGAATACGACGTATAACGCGTAATATAATACGTAGCAAGCACATATTATAGTATGATAATGAATCATATTAAAATATGATTGTATAGTGTATAGTATGGTGATAATCATACACGCACTTTTGAACAGTTCCGAAAAGTCGAGAATTATCCGTACGACACCTCTTACTCCGGTCGCACTCGCGTTAAAGACTATTATGATCGCACGCTTACCTATGTAACCGTTACCTACGTGTGTTTGTTGTCAAGGGTGCGCGACCGGTGAGACGCACTTTGTAAACAGTCGTTCTGTTATTTAGGCCGCGATTCGTTACACACTCCCAACGGCCATGAGCAATTCGTCATTGGTTGCGTTCAGCAGAGAAAGCTGCTTTGCAACTGTTGTAAAATTCGTGAATCGGATTGGAGTATGCTCTTAATTTTGGTTAAATCCAAGAGCATGTACCAATCAAATTCACGAATTTTACAACAGTTGCAAAGCAACTTTCTCTGCTGAACGCAGCCATTATATCATTGTTGCTCACTGGATGTTAAACAAAGATAGAATGACGCGGCCGTTGTGAACGGATCGCGGCCTTATTCATACACTTCACATATACATATTTTCTATACCATGGGTGCGAATCATTACACGCTTCAAATGCTTTGAAGCGCTGTGTGAACCAACCATAGCTTTTCTATCATCTCGGGCGCTTCGAAATGTTCGCGGCGACGAATGTGTATCGTATCTTATAATAATCATAATATTATCCTATGATATTTTATTCCCCCTAGCATCCCGGCTGACGAAATACGTTTTTCCGCGACGATAACTCGCGATGCCAAAAACTATGCGACGGTTTACGTCGAGATAGTCATTACAAAAAAGGAGCAAGAATTTTGCGAGTTCCTGCAACGATACGCTCTACATCCCTCTTTCTTTCTCTTTTTTTCTAAGAGACTAATATTCAACGTCATGATATACCTCTCTGTTATCATTTCACTCTTCCTTTCGTCTTTAATTATCGCCCCGCGCGTTCCTAACTATCGACCAATAAATCCGACGATCGTCCGAATCCGTTGCTATTTGAACGCAGTAACGAGTGCGAGAGAGACCGACGTGATACATTGCGACGAGCATCAGTATATGTCGAAAATAGGACAATTACTCGCTAAAAATGCACTTACGATATGTCTACGTGATCGCACATCGCTATCCTAGACACTCCTGACATTTGTTTCCGCACGAGACTCAGTTTCGGCAGACAAAAGGCGCGTAAAATGCGAAGGGATGCTTCGATCGATGCGTCAATGGTGGCGGCTCGGAGCAAAAAGATGGAAGATGCGCGTGCTGTTACGCGGGAGCGCTTGCCGCGCCGCAGGAGGTCGCGACGCGGTAGCCAATCAGACGCATTCCCATAGCAGCTAGCCTATTGGCGGACGCTTTACTGTACGATAGATCGATCTTGATAAATACTCGATCAAGGGTGACACAGCACGATCGCACACAGAGTACAATGATTTGTTAGACCTAGTGATTTACCAGACTTACATCTTTCGACTTCAAGAAGTGTAATTTTGTGTATTAATTATTATAATTTCATATAGTACCTCATAAATATCTCGTAAAGATGAATATTTCATAAAGAAATTCATGAAGTATGCAAGGCACTCTGCATAATCCCACACAGCACGTAATATATATAATATTACAGTAATATTTCAATAATATTTCTGCGATATTACAATATTACGGAAATATTACTGTGATATTATATATTACGTGCTATGTGGGATGTTTTGTTCACCAAAATTGTATCTTGTTGAACATCGCTTTCTCGAGACATCGCATAATTTTTTGCAAAATAAAGTAAATGTTCCAGTAATTGTACAATGTCCCAATAATTGATACATTAATAATAGATTAATTCATGTATTAACTAATAATTAAACATTTATCGAATAATATTACAAGTTGGCAGTAACAAATATCCTTCAGCTCAAAAATTTTTTTAGAAATGTCAAGTATAAATCTATTGTTAATGTATCAATCATTGGGACATTGTTCAATTATCGGAATTTACCTTATATATATATATATATATGTTTTTGCAATAAACAGGAAGCGAATGATAAAAAGTTCATCACTTCTCAAGTGTTTTTTTTACCAAACTAACATTTTTATCAAATTACACTGAGAAAAAAATATCTAAGAAATAAAATATGTATTCAATAAGAACATATTTATTTATACTAGTATATAGAAGTATTTTTCAAACAAAAAAATTTATATTTTCTTCAAAACCTGCTCTTTCATCGAAGCAAATGTTTATTCCGTTTAAATAAAAGAATTTAGAATTAATATATAATATAAAATGTTATTAATATTTACCGAATAAATATTTATTTTTTAGATATTTTTTGTCTGCAGTGTAGATACTACAAGCGCGTGCTGTCGCGCACTACTGACTACTATTTCTCGTCAGAAATCAATGCAATTTATACACAAACATACAATACAATATATAATGCTTTCTGAACTTTAAATCACCAACTTTGAATTGTACGCTCACCAACACATCCAGTTGTTCAGGTGTACGAATTAAATCCCCATTGCATCGCTCCGCATCCGCATCCGCATCCTCAACATCCAATTTCCTCGGTATCCGGTCTCTTCAGCATCCATGACGCACTTCCTCTTCTTTACAATCACTTTTCTATTTATTTTTTTCTTTTTTATTTGTGATAAGATTTAGAGATTTTCAGAAAGGAGAAAGGGACAAGTGAAGATAATTATCGCATTAATCCAAATAAATACGAGGCAAATTTTAACGTTTCCAGAATGTATGCGCAAGACGCGAATTCTGTGTAAACAATCGCGATCCGAAAATTACTACGCTTTCGACAAGTATCTGCAATAAGAAGAAAAATATTTTATCTTATGTATTTTATCTCAAACGTAATAAAACATCGAGAGAAAAACGCATTTCTCGATACGTAAGGACTCTAACTTCTAACATAAGCGAACATATAAACCAAATTTCGATCTAATTTCAATTAAAATCATATTCTTATTCTCGTCGACAAATTTAGAAAATCGATAACCGCAACAATCGAAAAATTCATCAACACGAACGAAATATATAATCGCGAATGAATGTCGTGTGCAGTGGCGCAATTTTGATGCGCATTGTGTGTTGCTCGAAACATTTAAGAAGTTTCACACTGACTGTCAATTCAATCGAATAATTCAATATTTTGATTTTAATGCAAAAGCTAAGGTGCAACTATATATATTGTATAATTTGTATATGTTGCATTTACATTCTCCACATTAATAGTAAATATATTAATATATTAATATATTATATATATTTATATTATATTACGTTATATAACTTATATATGTTGCATTTACATTCTCCAGATTAATAGTAAATATATTGGAGAGACAAAATATGTATTAAAAACTTGAAGATTTCATTATATGAAATCGGTTATTCAAGAAAGTAATGATTATTTCGAGCAGCACGAAAACTACAAGTAAATTGCATTGATTTCCTAGAAATTCTACAAACAACCATCACCTAAAAGCTTTCTTTCTCTCTCTAACTCACTCAAAATATCGTATATTCAAATCCAGTCACATTCCGCTGCAGATCTGCAATAAAAAATACAGCAATCGCGTCCGTCGACACAGCATCCCGAGGCCCGTATTCGTGCGATCGCGATCTTCACTAGATCTGTAACAAAAAGCAAGTTTCCTTATTGGTATTGTAACAATGGATTTAGAAATATGCAAAAGCAATAAAGAAAAACTATTAGCTCATATCGCGACCGATACATGACCGAACTGTTCTCTCTATCCCGTTTTTCGCCTTTTTAAACCGTGTCCGGTTTTACAGTCGGATTATAAGAAATAGTCGGATTATAAGAAATAGGACGAGCGAGACGAAACCGCGCAGTGTTTAATTACTCAAAACTTTAAATAAATTAAGACCGTGCTTCACACGAAAAGACACAGTCTTAGAGCTGGTTCGCGGCTCCTTTGCGGCTTCTAAGATTTCCTCCCCGTGTCGGGTTCACCCAATGTTCCAGCAACTTTTTCGCATCAGTCACGATTGAGAACAAAAAAGAAACTGTCCGGAAAGTATGCCGAAAACTTCGAACGTCGCACATCGGGCTGTAATCTGCGAATAGCAATTCACGACAGATGAGCCCAGCTTTTCCATTGTTCTTGCAAGTTTTGTAGCGCAAAAATAAATCTGTTTTCTACAAATTTTTATATTTGAAATGTGAGTTTTTAATGGGACATTGACACGACGATTTGTTTCATCGAGAAACGCTTCTCCATTTCTGAAAGCCGATACACATGTAAGAATGATTATCGCTTCAATAATTCTCCGTCACGCTGTTGTATGTATATTTGCGTGCGTGTGTGTGTATACATATATTTTTTTTTTTTTCAAAGACGAGGCAAGAGCTCTATTTCAGGGAAAATGGTGTAGAAAACGCCATCAATTTGGAAAATTATCGCCAAGTTCTTGGGGAAAATTAGTTTCGGATATCCGATAGTACGGCGCGTTTGAAAGCCCGCGTTCGAGGGTATTCGGTAGCGCAGCAAAATCGGAATAAATGACGCGTGCGGGAACACACGTGGAGCTTACAGGCGCTATTCTCGTTGTTCATTAGCCGGACTGTCGGCCGCGCCCGTTATAAATGCCGCCGTATAAATTTCCGACGTCCGTCACGGTAAATATAGAAACAAAGAAGAGAATATAAAAATGTTTCACGCGAATTAAAGAAATGAAAGAGTGACGTGTCAAAATTACGCGCGTATAAGTAATATACTCACTAACGGACTGACGCCTAACTTAACCTAACCTAACTCGGTTCGCTTGCGAGTATATCTCTGCTATCATTTCATCTTTCCCCTTCTCTGATTGTCGCCGAATTTCTAATTATCGATTAGCAAATCCGTCGGTTGTCCGGTTCTATTACTGCGTGAGTGAAACGGCGACAACAACGAGTGTAAGAAATGCCGGCTCGACGCGTCGCGAAAAGCACCGGTCGAAACACATGTCGAAAAATGAGGAGATCATTCGCTGCTTACGACATGTCCCGACGATCGCACATCGCTATCCTCGATGCTCCCGACATTTCCGCACGAGATTCACTTTCAGCAGACAATTGACGTGTAAAACGCGGAGGGATATGTCGATCGGTGTGTCAATGGCGACCGCTCGATCCAGGAAGATCGATGACGCGCGCGCGTTTATTGTCGCCACTTGCAGCCCCTACAACCTCCTCCCCTATACACTTAGTAGCATTTCGACCCGACAGATTCGATAGACCGATAGTTACTAGAAATTTTCCACCGGCTACATTCATCTTTCTAACTGTTTCTCATGATTGTGTCCTAATTGACCCAAAAAGCGCGAATCAAGTTTCATAAATGCAATCCCTTTCTCTTATATAGTGACATTAGAAATTTTCAGTCAGACACATCATACATCAAATATTCGTGCATCATAACTGTTGAGGAATTGTCAATTTCTTGAATAATCAACAATAATTATGCACGGACATCTTATATGTGATATGCCTAATTAAAATTTTTCAATATTACTGTATTAGGAAATGAGACTGCATTTATAAAGTTTGGGAATGATATTTTCATAACTCGACGTTTCGTACGCGTCGCAAAGACGGTTATCCGTGTAACGCGTAATCAACAGGTAATAATGAATTGTTTGTATCGAGTTTATATGTTAGAAAATCTCTTTTACTTACTCAAGTTATTCGTCTTATGTACTTTTATTTTCTATATTAAACTCAATATCTCTGTCCCTTTTTAACATTTACTTTGTTTTGTTGATTGCGCATTATACGTGAACGAATGATCTTCTTTGCTGATACATGCGAAAAACGTGAAGCAACATCAAAACATCACCTCTGCTCCGAACACGTTTCCGCTTGCTCAATTAATCAGCAGTCGCGAGAAACGCGCGGCCAGAAACGGATGCGGCTGATGGAACATTTTTAGTGAGTGTCGATCTATCGAATGGTAAGGCATGCCGCGGAGCTGAGTGTATAGAGAATAGTCGAACTCATCCAATCAAGCGAATACGCACTCGACAGATGATTTCTCTCCCGACAGATACTTGCCCGAAAAGCTAGTATCCTGTTGCGCAATTATTGAATATTTTGGTCCAACTGATTTGAAAGTTTAAAAGTTGCAGGAACGAAGCCCGCGTAGAATCAATCTACACACATTTACTCGGCGTAGATTGACGACACGCGAAATGGAACTGTACACGTAATCATACCGGAATAGGATATAATGCAATTAATGAATGACCAAGTGAATCAGCGACGGCTAACTGTAAATAAATCAAATTAAATTAAATTACATGTAAAAGCCATTTCTCTCGCAAACAAATGCGGTGGCACGTAAAATCGGCTGCAACAAGATCGTGGGGATGCGCGAAATAAAATGAACCGGCGCGTGAGATAAAACAAAACCGGGCCGGGGCGAAACAACCGATGATTTAGCACAGCAAAGTTTCGCTTTTCTGGCTTTAATCCGATCCCCCCGACGCGCAACGGTGTCTTCCGGTCAACGATAAAACTCTCTTTCGCCATTAAACATTACTTCGCCGTCGGATCGACCACCGATGCCGGCAGGCGGTCGCCACCCGCCGAAATGGTCGACAACGCATTGGAACACACATTGCCAGTCATTCCTCTTTTATTTCCAACAATCTGCAGCTTCGAGGAGGTCTTTAGAGGCAGAGTCACGATCCGCATTTGCCTGCGTTTTCGACCGACGCTGGGCGAAATTCCGGAAAAACGGACGAACGAGAGCGAGCGAACGGCAGAGGGGAGGAAGAGAGAAAGAGAATAGCGGACGAGGATAGCGTGGGATGGTGTGCCGGGCGTTTCCCACGGATCGGGGGCGAATTCGTAACTTTCGAGGGGAGGGGGAGAGGGGGAGAAAACAATTTTGCAGGAAAGCCGCGGCCGATGGAGAGCGAGAACGGTCGAGAACCGCCGGCGCGCACCCAATAGGAGAATCCAATTTGGATTATCGAAAATTCATGGAAGTGCCGGGGGTATACATGCGTGTACGTGTGCGTATCCGCGTAACACGCGTTGTCCGGCGAAAGATACGCGGCGATATGCACCGGCAACAGCGTTGTCTTCATAGCCGCGAATGTCCAAAACACGGAGATTATTCAAAGACCCTATTTTCGAAAGACCTGGATATCGAGGTTAATCCACTTTTTTGTGGATATGCTCGGGAATGAGACGGAAAGTCAACTGAGACGACCAGAGACGTCCCGTTCTTCCCGAAACAGTCCCGGTTTCTCGCCCATTGTTCCGGATTTTTTCGAGTGCTATCCGCAACGCCGATTTGCGCCGGATTTGGCCAAACTGACCTAGTTTATCCTAGTTCAGAGACTTTTTAAGATGCTTCCGACAGACGGAGATTTTCTTAAGAAAATTTGCAGCTCCGGTAAAGGAATGGTATCTTCGCTTCTTCTGCTTCTTAATTTTAAGTGAAAATAACAACAGTTTTGTCTCGGCAATAGTTTCTACCATAACGCGCGTAGTCATTTACTAATTTTCTTTAGTTAATATCTAGAGATTTATTGCGAAAATTGCGAAACGGTATAGAACTTTTATGTTCATCTCAATTCGTTCTACAAACATATTGCGGAGACAAATCTAGAGCACAATATATAATTTTTGTGAAATATTCCGAAATTGGGAAATTTTGTCGCCTCAATATAGCGGAATAAAAAATGAAATGTAAATAATCTGATCCTTTCTCACAGCGTTAGATTCGTGTTCGGTGCAATGAAATTGTCCAGAATTAAATCGCCCAGCAGGAAACCACGGTGGCCCGCGATTTTTGGCAAATATGGAGCTCAGTTTCTCAGGTGTATGGCAACGAGACAGACGAGAATAACGGCGAAAACAAATAATAAACAGTGCCGCGTCTGGACACTCTCGGCATTTGTTCAATTCGCTCGTGATGGAAGACGGGGTAACACACACACACAGCGACCAGCTTCCGCTGCGTGCACGGTAGACACATGGATAATATAAAGCGTCGCTTCCGCAACTTCCGGCGACGTGTAGCGTACTTCTATGTTTGTGCCGTCTCGTTCTCGTTAGTCTCCGTCTTCCTCCGGCTCTTCGATATTATCTAGCCGTCTCTCGCTTCTTACCTGTTTATTTACTTGTTTCGCTTTCTTTGCGCGAGCGCACACGCCATTATTCCCATTGCGGTTACTCGCGGTTTTCCGCCACTGTCGCAATAACTTTGGAATGATCAGAACTCGAAAGCAAGGAGAGTAAAGAGACCACACAACCGGCACGCGGATGAAAATAAAGGAAATAACACATAAAGGAGTCTCTTAAAAAGGTAAAGAGAAGCGGCGAAGAGAGAGAGAGAGAGAGAAAATGAAAAGAAATAAAGAGAGCGTCACAATTTTATGTTAAAAACTTGACGTTAAAAATTTGTGACATTTAATCGAAAGACAATCAACCCCAATCAAATAACAAACTATTTTCGAAAATCGACCCGTCGACTCGACGGGGCTGCCACAACTGCGTTCACGATAAAGCATGGATGATATCGGATACATACCAATAAGCTCGAGTCGCGCACGGTCGACGTGCGCACGCGAAACAGCCCTCATTAATCATCCGAACACCTAAGAACTGCAACGTG